TGGACTCGGACTCTAGTCTTCCACAAATTAAAGTCATTGTTTTACTATAGTATTTTATTGGATGTCTTCGCAGATTCATTTCAGTGGCATTTGCCAAGCATATTCCAGGAAATCTGTGGGGTTTAGAGTTGTAAAATGAGAATTGAACTTTAATTCCCAACACATGCAGTATCCTAAGCAATAAAACTTACGTCTTTAATCTATCCTTGGACACGGTTTTTTCTTCAGTTCACATTTCACTGCGATGGAAAGTTCAATGCAAATAGCTTTTCAGTTTGAAAAACATCGATCACCATCAAATTATACGTCAGCTTATATGTATTAAAAGAAATCTGCTTTATATGGTATGGACCCCAACTTCCATTAAGTCTGTTTTATATGTTATAATATGAAGCAGTTGCACAATTATTGATCACTATCTAATAAACTAATTTTGCAGCTTTATCTTATTGTCTTTGCACCTTTCTTCTGTTAATAAATATGGAATGGACTTGGACTCATCTTCCACAAATTAAAGTCATTGTTTTACTAAAGTATTTTATTGCACGTCTTTGCAGATTCATTTCAGTGGCACTTGCCAAGCATATTCCAGGGAATTTGTGGTGGTTTAGAGTTGTAAAGTGAGAAGTGAACTTTAATTCCCAACACATGCAGTATCCTAAGCAGTAGAACTTATGTCTTTAATCAATCCTTGGACAGGGTTTTCTTCAGTTCACATTTCACTGCCATGGAAAGTTCAATGCAAATACCTTTTCAGTATGAAAAACATCGATCACCATCATAAATCGGCATAGAATTTATTAAAACAAATCAGCTTTATGCGTATGGACTCTAGTCTTCCGTTGAAGCCTGTTTTATATGTTATAATATGAGGCACTCACACAATTATTGATCACTTTATTTTATTTTATTGTTTTATACTTACAATTAATGTATATTTCTATTAATTTTTACATATCTTAAAATTAATATGTGCTTTTTTTTAATAATTTTAAGGACACAATCCCACCATATTGACATGATATATTTAAAAAAATTAATTTTCTAAAATACTAATATTAAAATTTTAACTCTAAATCTAACTTATAAAACAACACACTACTTATCATTGGATCTAATCCTTTAAGATATTATTGATCACTTGATAATAAAGTAATTTTGCACTTTTCTTATTGTCTTTGCTGATTCATTTCATTGGCATTTGCCAAGCACCTTCCAGGAAATTTCCAGCTATAATTTGTACAAATTCTATCCTTCTCTTCTTCGCTGGCTCACTTGGTCAAGAACTAATTCACTGCTACTTCTAGTTTTCTTGGCCTAGCTAATTAATTTGGTTATCAGTCAAGGTCCGTTTTCTATAATTTCTTCGTGAAACCTACAGGTATATCATCTAGATCTTCAATCATGATCCAGTTATGTTCTCTTTGAAATGTAAAATAAAAATATCTAAATTTTCTTATAGATGCAGATCCTTATTAACAAAGAATCTTCATTCAAGTTAGAATATTTGTTAGTTTTAAATTGTTTTAGAGCAAATTGTTAGATTATTCATTTTCAAATTTCCTAATTTATCGAATTAACTTGTAGCTAATTAATTAATTAATAATGCAAATTCTCCTTTTTTAAGTACGTCTAGTAAATATACAAGTATCTCCAAGTGATCTTTCTAAATCATGTTTGTCTTTTAAGAAATATCCATTGCATCCCTCTAGTTAGAAATAACTATGCTTGAAATTTTGAAGCTGACCAGCTGCTACTTTTAATTTGGTGATGGACATCCATTTCTTCAATTTCGTTTGCTAAACTGGCAGGTACACTATTTATCTTTATCTTCAACCTTGATTATCTTATGTTTTTGTTCTTGATTATCTTATGGTCTTTTTTTATGCATAAAGGTAAGATGCCCAAATTCAACCATTAACTATAGTTGATAGACCCAATTACCTTCAATACAAAACAGAGATAAATCACCCTACTAAGTAATTAAATGGCACAAGCAAGTTATAATTTGACATATAACATCATGTCATGTCATGATTCTGTTAGAATCTTCCTGAATATATGTTGTTGAAATATCTTGTAGCCAGTCTCCTAGACAAAAATATCACCTTAAACAAACAATTTTAAGTCAATGTTCTCCGTTGTTGTAGAGCTTTTCTTAGCTTGGTGAAGAAATCCCTAAGTAATTCA